ATTTATCCAATTATTGATCCATGAGAGGACTTTCCTTCTTATCCCATGACTGCTTGCTTTGCTTAAGAACCTTTGGTATGGGACCTTCTCAAAGGCTTTCTGAAAGTTCAAGTATAAACTGCATCGCCTTTGTCCATATACTTGTTGATTACCTTGAATAATTCTAATAGATTGGCAAGGTATGATTTCCCTTTGCAAAAGCTATGTTGACTCTTCCCTGGCATACTGTGTTGATGTATATGTCTGATAATTTTGTTCTTTACTGTAGTGTCAACCAATTTTCCTAGTTCTTAAATTACTGTAGTTTCAACCAATTTGTCTGGTTCTTAAATTAGACGTACCTGCCCATAGTTGCTAGGATTGCCTCTTGAGCCTTTAAAAAAGTAGCTGTTACATTAGCTATCTTCTAGTCATCTGATACAGAAGCTGATTTTAAACAGTATTACATTAGCTATCTTCTAGTTATCTGTTACAGAAGCTGATTTTAAACAGTAGATTAGATACCACAGTTCATAGTTCGGCAGTTTCATATTTGAGTTCCTTCAGAACTCTTGATGAATACCATCTGGTCCTAGTGACTTTAAACCACCTCAGTCTGGGATAGTTCCTTAGCTTTGTCTACAAAGAATATCTCCAGTGTGGGAATCTCTTACATCCTCCTCAATGAAGACCAATGTGCAAAATTAATTTAGTTTCTCTGATAGCCTTGTCCTCCTTTTATTTAGCTTATTTAAAGTGAAAATGGCACTGACATACCAAGCTTACTACATTTAAGTGTGAGGGATGATTGTCTAAAAAAGGTTGGAAAAACAAATCTGACTTTAATCATCTTATCCTTAAGTAAATATCAGTCGTATAGTAATAATAAATTCTGCATGTTTACTTGCTTCACTAATCTGCCAAAATAAGATTGTGGCATGTATTTATGCCCTTAGAATGAAGAAATTAACAGACCAGTTGCATTGGGGAGGGAAAAGGAGAAGAATGAATCCCTCTCCACACTTTATCAGTCTCTGGACTGGAAATTCCTGCATGTTGCACAATCACCTAGTCTGTATTTGGCAAGTAAGACATTTCCCTCTGGCACTCTTTTGCCATGCCTTTTATTAAAGTATCCTAGATTTGATTTTAACTTGTTGTTGCATGCATTGTTAAATAACAAGGTATTATGCAAAAATGAGCTCAGTTATGTCAGATTCAAATGAAATAATTTTAATTTGCCCTTTTCATGGAAGTAGACCAAAACTGATGGTCACTTCTGTAATTATGAAGTAGGAACAATTCCCCAAAAACATGGCCATGTCTATTAAAGGTATTTGATAGGCTTTGTGAAACAAATTGCAAGCTTGTAGAAAAGCCTGGAGTGTGTCCATAATTCAAGCAAAATAATACTTGTTACTTAACATGTGCTAAGCGTAGCAGTAATTGAATGCTTTATGATGGTAGATTGGGAAGCTGGCTGTTCTGTGTCCAGCATTCGGTGATGGTCTCCGCTGAAGCAATTTTGTGATTTTACTCCAGAAGTGGGAAAGATGTTGGCCTCTCGTGTAGGAATTAAAACCTCAGATATTCCTCTCTCACTTCTTAAGGTCCCACTAGTCCTGATCATAATGGAGGTGAGATCCATGGAAGTGCTCCATTTTAGAAAGAGAGCAAACCAGATAACATTTTCTAGTGTTACTCCCTACCCAACTGCTATCTCAAAACTAAACTCAGAGTATACTGAACAATTGCCATACTTGTTGAAATGTTTAAAGTTATTCCTGCCTGTATTCAATATTTTGACTACTCGTACATCTGACTTAGTTCTAAATCAACTATAACTACTAAGGGAAATCTGGGAGTGGCCAATAATTTTGGATTGGGGGGGTGGGGGGGAGGAAGTGGTTGAGGGCTGTAGTCTTCCATGATATTAATGGAGGTGGCATGGGGTTTTGGGATGCAGGTTGGGTGCAGAAGGGAGCTTGGGATAAAGGAGGGAGTTTGGGTGAAGGAAGTAGTTGTGACCTGGGGCACTGGACTGGGATGCAGGGGTTTGGATTTGACTTAGGGATACTAGAGGGGGTGCAGGGATTTGTGTTGTGAGCTAGGGCAGGAGGAGACTATGATCTGGGGCAGGAGACTGGGGTGCCAGATCTGGGAGGGGATATGGGTGCAGGCAGGGGGCAGAGGGTTTGGGTATGTGGAATGGGGGGGAAAGTGGGGGTAGAGGATTAGGGAAGGGAGAGGCTGGGTGCCAGAGGCAGGGGCTGGCCAGGAGACTTACCAGCCTGCAGCCTGTTCCTGAATCAGCCTCCTGCCAGTCAGTGTGTGGCAGCACAGCTTCACAGGTGATTAATCAGCTCCATCCAGTCAGTCAACTCCCTGTGTACAGCCCTGAGCCTCTGACTGGACAGGGCTGATTAATCAGCTATGAAGCTGTGCGGCTGT